TTTTCATTAGGCGGAAAATTAAATTAAAGTCACAAAATTGGTCAAATGAAATTCGACAGTAGAGGTTAAACGAATTAAAATATTGTGTATATTTCGTTGAAAGCAATAAAATATGAATAGCGTTTGATGATGACACATTCTGCGATGAGACTTCAATGTCCTGTCTTTTGGTTCAATCATCAAAGTTAAGGAATATTGAAGCAGTGATCTAAAATTACTATTTTTGCCTCTAAAATCTATTTTTTCCTTAAAAAAACACATGTGTGCTTTTTCATTATTTTCTCCAAAAATGAGAATTAAAACTTCAAATTGAATTTTCTCTTTAAGTCGTCGTTGAATAATCTCCAATGCATAATTTCCCCTTCAAATATGAAAGACACTGAATGCCCAGTATTTGATATCGTGTTAAAGATTTACACATGTGATAAATATTCAAAAAGGGAAAAAAAGATTTTCTTCAACCTACATGTCAATTTTTTTGTAGTGTTATCAAAGTTGTCTGTTTAAATAATTTTTAGATTGAGGTGTACTTTTAAAATAATCATCATCTTATCTACAGAAAAATGTTCAACTTTTATGCCTACTGTTGAACGAAAAGTGATTGTAGATATAGAAATAATTAATTAATTAATTTCCCTAATTCCCTTAATTCTGTGTGTTGTGTGTGCGTGTGTGGCAAACTCGTGATCAAGTTGGAAAAAAGCAGGGAAATGCCGACTGTCTTTTCGAAAGAAAGAAAAAAACGCAGTGAAATTCATTGAAAAATTCTACAGTTCAAAATTGTGATTGTGAACTAATCCAACATATTCACAAGCGCATATGGTTGTGTGAATACGCGTCAATCTCTTTCAAACAAAATTAAATCGTCATGTGCTACAACACACTGTTTGCTGCATTTTTTTTCTAACTACTACAAGGAACAATTAAGAAATTATGCACTTTTCATGAAATGAAAAATTATATAAAACAAGAAATTCAGTTAAATTTTACTTAATTATCGGTTAACTATTCAAATTACAAACAATATTTTGCATTTAGTTAATCGGAAATGATTTATTTCAGAACTTCAAGTAGAATAAATTTTGAAATGTAAACGAACTGGAGACTAGTCAAACATTCGCCTAGAAGTGTGATGATATAGTAGAAACTAAACTCTGTTGATGATGCCTAGGTATATGTTGGTGTTGTATGAAAAAGTCTCATGGCTGAAGTGATAATGGAACAAAATCATTCACCACATTTTAGATAACCCCGGCTAAATCTAAAGATTTATGTTCTTGCATACTGCCCATACTGCATACTGCATACTGTAGTTTTGACCACCCCCATTGTTGAAACCTGTTGTGCGTGGCAGTTCTACTCGCAATGCATATCCATCAAAGTTATATCCATCCCGTCCACGAACTGCATCTGATGCATCGAGTTCATCCTCGAATTCAACAAATGCAAATGGTGGACCACGTCTCGGTCCAGCCTTTAGATCGATAGCTGCAATCGGTCCATATTTTGAGAAAAGGTTCTCAATATCACGAGCCTTAGTGTCTGGAGGAAGGTTTCCAACATAGATTTTATAAGTAGTCCTAGACATTATGACGTAGACCTTTGATTCCCGCCCAACAAATGGAAAGTTAAATTCAGGTGACAGGAATTTCTTTATCCCAGTCCATTGTGTTCTAAGTGGAGCATAGAGCCTCAATCTTGAGTTATTGTCTAAATTCCAATAGCAATGGTGTTGTTCTTTAAACTGTGAAGATGCTAGCCTTACGCTTAACCTACCCTCAAAACTGGGCTCACTACTGGTTAGGGCTACGTGTGTCGGTGGCATAGTGGTTAGGACGCTCGCCCACCATGCACATGCTCCAGGGTCCGATCCCCGGCCGACGCACTCCTTTACCTCGCTAAGCCAGAAATAATGCTGGCGAAGAGGAAAGGTTGGGCATGAGGCTAGCAACCCCATCCTGTAAAATAAGCACTGCTACATAAACTTCAAGCCACTAGCTTGAAGCCCTATGTTCCACTGGGGAACGTGAAGGAAATAAAAAAACTGGTTAGGGCAACGTTTATGCATCCGCCAGTTAACAAAAAATTAAAACATTCAATACTTCCCTTAGCAAACAGCTGTACACGTTATCGTGTAGCCTACTTATTCTAATACTCAATAATGCAATAAATCTCTTGAAGAATAGTGAATTGTAATGAAAAATTGTTTTACAAATCCTGACTTGTTATTAATAAGAGTTTTGTTTCAAATACAAGTAATACTGTTATATGGATGAGGATAAAAGCTATTGTGAGGTGTTTTCTTGCATAACATAGCAAACGCTACAATGGATACTCCAGCGGTGTAAAAAGGTTGATAAAACACCTTTAAACCAGCCAGATATAATACCTGTATATGATTACAGTATTCCTGTTAGTGCATAATATTAAATCACATAAGACCAACTACTTGAGGAAATTCATATCGTAATTGACCACCTCTGTTCAACCTACTGAAGTATATTTGAAACGAAAACGCGGTAAGTTTGTTTTGCTATAACTTCTATTCTCAAATCTGTTATTTAGCGGAGCGAATTCAGCGCGTTTATTCACACGTGTCAAACTTCAAATAAACTATTCACTGATAGCTTTGTAGGTAGAATATAATATCAAACAAAAACAGAAATTCAAACTGCTGTGAGAGTATACGTTGATTTTGAAGTATACGAACGCATATGAACACACAGGTGACTAAATGGAAGATAAAGATATTTAAATGTTTAGTTTTGTTTATGAAATAGTAAAATGTCCAAAAAGTGTGTACAACACTTAAACTATCGTGAAAACTGTTCATATTTTCGACTTTGCAAGAGAGGAATAGAAGTTATGCATGAATGAAAAAATGTACTTTCTACCTAAAAAAAATTATTCTAAAGACTTCCTAATAACTAACGCTATTGTTAAACATTACGTATTTTTCTAATTTGTCAAAATGTTTCACTACTTTGGTCTTATTTTGTATATTTGAGTGCATCTTCCTAAATTGATATACACACAAATGCCTCCTTTACACTTCTATTTGTCATGAAAAGACATTTGCTGGTCATTAATTTTATATACACCTATTTCTCTTTTAATATTCAACTTATAACTCGGAAGATGACGTTTTGAATAGCAAAAAAAAACAACATACTTTTGAAGTTAGTAGTGGTTTCGAGTTTCAGCTATTTCATTGTCACATTTTATATGTTGGTAAAATGTTAAGTTGGAACATAATTCACCTGGATTGTACGTGAAAAACACCTGGGAGGTGATATCATACAGGAATATTGCAAATAAAATGACAGTTCCCTCTCTATTTTGTAGAAATGCCAACAAAGGAGTTTTGTCTCACAGTAGTTGAATGTTATTACCCCTGTATAATAATGATTATGCCTTAAGTAGTTTCCAGTTTTTCAAGGCACAAATTTTGTAGTATTCTTTATATTTTTGTTACCATTTAGAAGGAGTGCAGGTAACTGAATACTTCATTCTAATGAGAGCATTGTGCTGATTAACGAAAAGAATTTAGCCAATAAACTCTTTGTGACGTAAAAACATTCTGATTTATCCATGTTCAAAACACTACCCATTTGATTCTTATGCAACTGTTATCCACTAATTGGGTCTACTTAACAAAGCAAAAGTGAAAATTAGGCTAGTGGTATGGTGCAGTAATAATGATGCATTTAAGTAGTATATAGTGTGATATAGTCATGAGACGTAGAGGTAGTTTCAATCGAACAGCTAACATCACTGCAGGATAAATAAGGAGCAGAGATTGGTATTAATTACTGGTGAGAATCAAATAAGTGACAGAAAATATATAACCAAATATGCATAATACTGAAAATATTTGGAAAACTGTGGAATAAATGCAAAGTGTGTAGTTCAAGTGTTAGTTTGTAGGAATTTCATTGGTCACAGGATTTGATGATGAGCTGAGATCAGTTACAGAATCACTGGAAAACCTGGAAGTACTTGATGATCGTTTCGTCCTAGTTCGGGACTCTTCATCAGCACGCATCCACCAAGGTTCGAACCCAGGACCTTCTGTTTACAAGGCGTAGACCACTCAGCTACTGGGATCCTATCCGATGGTCCATGAATTCCAACTTTTGCCAATTCACGACATAGCGCAGTGACCAGCCAGTGTTTTCGGCGAGTATTAATCCTCACACCCGACTTGCTGTACCCTACTGTTCAAGACTTCCCATTAGAACCTCACGTAACAACCTACCTGAACATGGTCAGTCACTAGTGAGCATCAGATTGATATTCAAGCGTTGGTTTGCAGGGATTTGTTTGGTTTCAGGATTTCATCGTGAGCTGACATCGGTTAGAGAACCAGTGGAAGGTCCTGGGTTCGAACCCCAGTGGGTGTGTCAAGACGAAGAGTCTCAAACAGCTACTCAATACTCCAAAGTTTTCTAATGGTTCTCTAACCGATGTCAGCTCATGATGAAATCCTGAAAGGTTTGAAGTTTTACCAAAGTTTCGTGTTATTTATTTTGACAAGTATCGCACAAATCACAAATAGTATCACATACCTTTGTAAGTCAGTTTTAAGTATATTTGAATAGGAGAAAGAATCCCTTATTCTTGATTTCCTCTGTATCTTTACAGAAAAATAGGATATTTTCATTTTGGAATACTTAAAAACCTGTGGTTTAAATATGGTGCTTAGTCTGAATTGAGTCATATTTACTGTTTCACATCATTGGTTGAAATCTGTTGATATGAGTTTTGTTCTTCAGAGCCGATGCCGATGTAGTAAAAAGAACACTATGTAACAAGTGTGGCAGCCTAAGAAGCTATGTCCTAAAGAGCAGTAGTAGAATTTGACTGGGTAACAAAATGACACAGTATTTACCAAAATGTGGATTTTATTACCACAGTCCTTACAATGGTTACATTTTGTTGACAAAATATTGCTTAAATTATTCTTAACTTTAATGGTCAACTTAACAAAACTAACTAACCTTCAATAAATTCGATACGATAATCGTTTGGTGGCCAGTTTTTAACAATTTTAGTTGTTGATCTTGTTTGTGACATTGACTCCAATGAAGATGATCTGGAAGAGGGTACCGAGAATACTCGGTTGTTTGACCTTTTGTGATTATTCTGTTGATGAGAGACATTCTGATCAGTTGAAAATGTGTTCTTCAGCTTATTTAACAAGGTTTCATTTAGTCTAAAGGTGTTGTCAACTCCATCATTAGTGACTATCCTTTCAGGTAACGTATTGTCATGCACGTTTGGAAAGGTAACTGAAGGATAATTTGCACTGATAACATCTTCTCTGTTCTCGGGTGTACCTTGGAATTGATATCTGAGGTTAACTGGTTTGATCTCTTTCTCAGTTCCTTTAAATCCTCCTTCTTTATTATTATCATTGTAGATCACACCACTCTCATCTTTATTATTGTTGTTGTTATTTAGATTGTCTTGTTCAACGGATTCAATATGAAATAAGTCACATTGGACGAAGAAATCATTTAAAGATATTATAGTGAGGGATAAGAAAAGAATATAATCAGAATTTAATAAAAACAACTTCATCTGTATTGAATTGAAGACATTCTCTGTTGTAATTGATAGTATCCTTTAGTTTTCATAAAAATTTAGGTGAATATTAGGCAAGTGGATTTATCACAAATGACAAATAGTTCGTGCTAACGAAAAAAGCTGCAAGCGGCTCATTTTTTATAACTCTCTTCAATCTCAATCTTCTTTTAGTTTGTTGCTTTTGGTGAAATGTTTCCGTTTAATATACACGTGTCAGTGATTTTGTATTTTGTCTATAAATAACAGTTTCGCGGATTTAGTAATAAATGCTATCAAGGTAACCAGTATCACAGTTAATATTAACTTTCAGTTTAATGCTCTCACTGATAAACTGGGACTCAGCTTTGCTTTCTTGAGAGTAGGAGACTGTTGACGATGAAGTTGTTAGCAAATAGATTCTCCTTCATTGAAATATCCCTGAATAAAATCAAAATAAAGAGACAAAATAAATTTAATTCGATATTAATCTAAGACTAAATGTTACATTTTAATTAAATATAGAAGACAAGTAGTGAACGCAGTTGCATAAAATTTTCACTGAACAACTGAGTTCCTACAGTCAAAAGGCACTTATATTTACCTTAGCACAAGAATTGAAGTGATACTTTGTGCAATTTTCTTTAGAATTTTCAATGGTTATCTTAGTCCCCTGTTCAGTGGAAAGTGATTATGCACAATTCAAAGTGATTCTGTTCAAAGTTCAAGTATAATTACGGGCAAATAATTCACTAAATATAAATAAAGTGTTTCCAATTTCTTGACCATTTTTTCCTCTCTGATTGGTCTGTTAATTAATTGGTGTTAGTAACGGTTAACCAATCACATTATAACCGTGCTCTTGTAATTACCTAAACTCTGCTGCAATCCTATGTCAAATTTTGATAATAACGAAATAAAAACAATCGTAATTATTTTTTGGTTATTTTATGGAATAATTTGTTTAAATAATACACCAGATATAATTATCTAACTAAGATTGTGATTTGTTTGTGCTGTTGAATTTAAATCACTCATTCAATATTTTAAACTTGACACAATGAAGCCTTTCCCTTGACCTGACAATTAATCGGATATATTGTACGTAGGCTCAAGATACTACCTGATCGTCCAACCCTGTTCGCTTCAGAGAAATTCGAACCAGCGGCTTGTCATTTGAGCATTCAGTCTTTAGAGAAATTAGTTACCGATGGTGGTATTCTTCCTTATTGAGGAAATCAGATTGATAGATAATACGAAAAGTGATAAACATTTTACGGGCACGTCTTCAGTGTACCTTTAAAAATAACCTACTAATTAAAACGTAGAATATCGCACAGAAGTGCAGTAGTTTGAGATGTGACACTTCATGTAGCACACAAAGGTAGAAGAAAAACCCTACAGAGCTATACTGAACAGAAATGTGCTGGAATAATTGTAATTATATGGAGAATCATGAAGAGTCAGCGAGTTATGTAAGTTACAAAGACTGTATGTATCTGCACCACTGATAACGATTCTAGCATTTTGAGGGGCCCAACCAGGCAGTCTACACCTCCCTATATGGCTGGCTCAAACCAACTATCAAAGGTGTCGTAGATAGATGCGAGATTTTGGTTTGGCCATCGGTAACTCTTCCCCAACGTAATCCAATGTCGATGACGAACAAGCAATAAAGGTTAATAAAGCAGGATTTAATGAATTCATCACATTTCGGTAGAACTCGTCAGCTGAATACTCTACATACACGGATATATACTTTTGAAGTTACATTGGGAGATATAGGACTGAATACTTTACATACACGGATATATATATACTATATATATATCCTATATCTCCCAATGTAATTTCAAAAGTATGTATATCCGTGTATGTAGAGTATTCAGCTGACGAGTTCTACCGAAATTTGATGAATTCATTAAATCCTGCTTTATTAACCTTTATTGCTTGTTTTAAATTCGTATCGGGAAATAAATGTTTCCAAGTCGATGAGGAAGGTGGTTCAGCATGGACTACCAGTGCCTTGGCCTTTAAAACCATCATACACATGATTTAACATGATTTGTTAGATAAATACGAGTAGACAGGGTATTTTTATCACACTAAACTTAACTGAAATTTTTCTAAGGTGTCTTTGCATACAGTTATGGGATATTTCAGACATTCTAAACATACTTTTAGAAACTAAAAAGCTTCAATTTCAACAGGTGGAGAAGGATATAAACACTAACAAAAATTTATGTATCTTACTAGGTGCTTGAAGGTTGTGAATCACTTCCATCTATCACCGTTTTCATAAATATAACGATTCTAAATAAAGACCTTCACAATGTAACGTTAAAGTGAACAGCCGGAAAGGTAAATAATACCCAACACTTCACGGTGAATTTAATTGACGGGTTGATATTATCTGAAAGAAACATTCGTAAACTAGGTATCACTGTAAAGATGTCTTGTTCTTTTTTTCGGCTGTTCAGCAGTACGCAGTAATAAACATCGAATTTAGGATCGTTAGGTTGCGTAATCGGTAAGTTATCTTTAGGCCAGCGCGCTGAAATCAAGTCTTCTGTAAATACTAAACTTCGTCACCTCTCAGTACATCACTAGACTTCAGTGTCATCGGTGATTAACTGTCGCCTTACCACTTGGTCGACGACATAGACGGGGATAAAAGAATCATTCAAATACACAAGCTTACTTAGAAACAAACTATGTCTGTCAAAGGATCTTGTGGAATCCATTAAACAAAAGAAAATCTAGTTTATGCAATATCCTACAGTGATTGTCAGGTCAACTACACAGGTCAAAGTAGTACGCTGGGGTCAATTGGACTAGCGTAGCACAAGAACCTAATGAGATTTAGATAAGTCTACCGTAATAAAATAAGTAATTTAGAAAAAGGTCTAACTGTAGCATTACCTACAGTTATATACAACCATACAATATGATGGGACGGTGGCCGTGTTAAATCTAATGTAACACTGTGGAGAGGTTGATAACTGAAGCTTTATTCATGGAATCAACTGAGAATACGCGCAGTAAGAATGACTCAACACCTATGCCAGATATCTAGAAAATTTTACTACTCTTACGACAAATGGAAAAGAAGGACGAGAACTAATAAAACAAAGTTCGGAATTTGTAAAATTACAAGTAGTGTGTTTATGAAGAATAAATTTTGTCATATATCCTATAAACAAATTAATACGGCATAATATACTACAACAGTGCCGAATTTTTATAAACATTAGGAACCCATTAGTAAATATTTCTCACTAAATCCTTACAAAATGCAACTTGGAGCTTTTCACTGATGAATAGTTGAAATTTTCGATTCCATTTGATGGATTCATTTCACCATGTGCTGATGAAAAAGTGTGGCCTGTTAAGTTCTTACATCACATGTGAAAACATTCACTAAACAAATTAGAAAATTGAAGGCAGTGCTATATTTACGGGATGTAAAAAAATTTAGAGTCCATCAGTTATTAGATCTAGAACGAATCTCTGAATAGCAATGTGTTCACTTCGTAAGCGACGGTTCTGAGTTAGGCTTCAAGTCAAGTTTTGAGTGAATTAAGAGTAAGAGCAAAACACCAAAACGAACTGGTTGTCTAGTGTCGTTTTCACTTTCTCAGCTGTTTTAAGCTGGCGCATTTCATTTTTGAAATCAAAAAAGCCTTAAAAGTAATCTTTGAAAATTGAGCATTTGTCATCATCTTTGCTTAAACTGTCAATCAATCGAAATAAACTGACAAAAGACTTTCAATGAATTCATCAGTTACTTCAGTGGTAACACTTTGAATTCCAGGTTCTAAGAAATGACTTATTAATACAGTCTAATAAATGAGAAACCATTCTGACTAAGGTTTTTTTATTAATATATGGACGCTATTTGAAAGAAATAACTGTCCTAGATGGAGAAGTCAAAGTCACATTTATTGAAAATATCAGATAGTACCAATGGGATATACCCCAGTTGAGTTCAACAGACTAATTACGTTCTACTAGAGTATCTTAATAAGAGTGAGTGACAACTGGATTATTCTATTTATAACTGATGAAGTACCCGCACTACCACTGTTAGATAAGACTCACCTTGTCAATAGGGATGAACAGTACTTACTGAAAATAATTCAGACAAACTAAGAAGTGCCTGAGGAAGCGTCGAGTATGTTGAGTATATTTTTCTAAATAGTGAAAATCTTGCCATCATTACTTTTCCTTATGCAAATTATTAAATTATAAAATCCCAGTCGATTGATAAGGTTTCTAACACCTCAAGTATTCATATTTTTATCTATCAGTCAAGGACTGAAACTGAACTAATTTGAACATTGCACAGGTTTGGAACAAATGTTTCTGAACGTTTACAATTTGAATGATCTTCAGATATAGTTGAAATCTCAAGAAGGTGTATCTTTAAGAGGCAGTAACTGCTACTTGTTTAGAATGTCTATAAATGTGCACCTTAACAATTTGCCCTGTTTAAACCTTTATGAAGTGTGCCACTTGAAATGCTACTTTGTAGTGCACGCTGTTTACACAATCCCATACCACATCTGATATAATTACATGACCATGACAATGTTGTTAAATTTTCATCAGGAAACCTGCAAATGAAGCCTTCAGTTTCCTGGTTAGTAAGGTCCAATATCATTAACAGATATTTATAATTCTTAAGGATTGCTACAAAACTAAACTGTGTAATAGTCAGATTCTGACAGAAACGCCACTGTCATCTACTCTTGTGGTAATAAAATCCTTAGTTGGGACTAGCACATATATATATATATAACTAAAATATCAGTATTAATATTTTGAAATATTTCCAGTTGCTTTCAAGACAATGCTTCACATTTTATAAGTCGTAGAATGGAACTGTAACTGTAAATCTTATATTTAACAAAAATGAAAACGTCTGCAACGGATTTAATCATTCTGACACTGAAAATTGTGGAAACGTTATGCTTGTTTACAAACCTAAGACTTCTGACTCTCTAAAATCTTTGTAAGATTTCTAGAGGTATAATCCTCCATCCCCAAACATTAAAATTAAAACATTATCAGTCGGTGAATGAAAAATATTATATGGTTAAATGGTTAAGAATAGGTCTGGTCAAACTACCAGTTAGAATCTGAGTGGAATAATAACAATATAGTTGATCTCTTATATTTATAAATCTTTTTACTATGGAAGACAATCGTCGAATACGAAGGAACCCCTACTAATCTACCCTTTTCACAAAAAATCCTGCTTATGATGTAATGTATTATGTAAAACTCCAC